TTTGTACTGAAGGGTGACTTTCAGTTCTGGCCACATGATGTGCCTCTCTTCCCAGCTGCCCGCTGCGATCAGAGCTCGGGCCCTGGAAGGGATATCTGGGCCCAATATGCAGGGGAGCTGCATAGGAAACTCTGATTGGCTTGACACCTAGAGCGTTACAGAAAACATTAAGGGGTGCGGGGGGGGGCCTTCAGTAAGTTTTAAGTATACATTTAAGAAGGCTAAGAATGAGGTGTTTGAAACTGCTACGGCTGGCAGAACCACTTTCTGAGAAAAACTGAGACTATGAAGGGCACCTTTGGCTTAGTTAATGCACCTCTCGGGGCTGATGCTGCAATATTAAGGGATCAGAGAATTCGTGGGGAAGGAAGGAGAGAAAACAAGAAAACAACAGTAGGACGTGTGAAAGCATTCTGCAGGACAAGAAAAAGCAGCAACATTTGTATCCAGCAGTCATACAAGAAAAGCATACTTCTGAAAATGAGCTACTGTATAATTCAGAAAAATAATTCAGAAACATGGTACCTTTTTAAGAAGACATGATTTATAGGAAAGAGGCCACAGATCAAGTAAAATTAATGCAGTGAAACCTGGATAAGTCTGGAGAAAGAATTGAACCTCAAATAGAGGTAAGAATAAAATGCAAATCCGGCAAATTTCTAAGCAGGATGAAACTGGCAACAATTTTAGAAAACTAATGGAGTAATGCTTCAGAGTATTGGAGAAAGGTATGACCTAACTTTGCATATAACCGAGGAGTTTTTCACTTGCAAAATCAACAGGAAAACATTTTTTTAGTACGTGCTCACATAATGTATACCACTTATTTCTTTTCTGGAAAAAATTGTATGAGCACATCAACTAATCCAAAGAAGAAGCAAAAGATCACACACCTGAGGAGAAAAGTTGAGAACAATGGAATTCAACAAACGAGAAACAAATTTAACTGTTAAGAATCTAGTTATAAGATTGAATGCTAATTTACTGTTATTAAATACAAGTGTTATTAAATACAAATTTCATAATGACTTAAATTTAAATCCTTACATTACATTAACA